TAATCGTAGAATGCGCATAGATGTACAGTGCATCGTATACCCACATATTGTAAATGATGTTTTTTTCTTTTCTTTTTGAAATTCATGTTTCACCGACTAACCAATCAACCAATCTATTAATTGTTGATTGATTGATTAATTGATTAACCGATCGCAAGTGCTATACAACTCCAATTGCAGTCAAGTGAAAACTTTTTCTTAGAGTTCAAAAAATTCATTCTCTTTTGTAGGCATCTAAAATTTGCGAAGGGGCTTGAACCATCAGTTCCCCCGATGTCAAAGGTTTAACTTTCTTAGCCTTACGGAGCAGGTTTTTAGGTGGGTTGTTGATCGACAAGCGCTGGGTGGGCCTATCTTACAATTTTCAAACACTAATTTTGACAATTTTTCACACTTAGTAGAATTGATCAAAACAACTTGTAGATTTGCATGTGATATTAAAAAAAAACATATCAGAGAAATGAAATAAAATATTATAAACCATGAAATAAGTGTAGCTAATTTCGTGGTTATCCTAAGGTACAAGATGTTTCGTTTGCAAACCTCCATGACATAAATTCATTTCAGATTTTTAAAATATTTTTTATTTTTGGCGTTGGGACTGCCCGGGACCTTGATCTGAACTTTGTCCGGACCTGGCCTAACTAAGGCCATTTAGGCCGCCTGACTGGTAACACAGCTAACTATAAAAAACGAAATATTAATGGAGATCTTGAATACAATGAATATGCATTATGTTTGTGAAAAAATGATAGTAATATAAAGTACAAGTATATGTAGATTTATCGACATAATTGTTTACTCGCCCTGCAAAAAATAATATTTGTTTATTTTTTATGGTTAATAAATTGTTATTTTCAATGTAAAATTTAAAATTTAATTTGTAAATAGTTTTTTAAATCAATACTACACTTTGTGTTATTTTTCAGTTAACATTCTTCGAATAGAACGTTGTGAAGTCCACATATTAAAATGTTTATGCGTTATTTTAGGTCCTTGCAACCTAAGATGTAGAATCTATTTTATTGACGACCTTGATAAGGCAGGTAATGGTTTGTGGGCTAGGTTACTAGGGTGGATATCCGAACACCTTGTGAATGTTTGGGATATACGACGGGACACTCACTCGACCACCTGCTCGAACAAGCGTTTGATTAGGAAAAGCTTGGTAATTGTTACAAAGGTGGGCATATTTTGCTTGAGGGTGTTTTCCATTCGCATCCTTCCAAAGAAAAGGGGAAAAAAAAAAAAAGTAAAAGTGTTAATTCTACATGCCTAAGAGGTGAATGTGTGTGTGTGCGTGGGAGAATGCGGATGTGTGTGTGTGTTCAAGTGTGCATGTATATATGTGCGTATGTGTGCGTATGTGTGCGGATGTGTGTGTGTATACGCGTGTGCGTGTATATGTGTGCATCATGGCAAGGTTACCGGGCTGAACGTTCAAAGGTTCTCGAGACAACCCTCGAACGTTCAATCGTGTTCGTAGAGTTGTTAAAGGCATGTCTCCGAAGGGGTTCGGGCCCCGCTAAGTTGGGAGACGTGTCCGGGGTACGTCCCCCTGAAGGGGTTGGGGCCCCCCCAAAGAAAATATGCGGTTTACAACCAGATTCGAGGGTACAAATATAAGACTGAGTTGGATATCAGGGCTAGCCAAAAGAAGGTGCGCGTTGGCTTCTTCTTTCTTGGGAAGCAGGATAAATTTAAGCTCAACATCAATATTGTATCCTTTCTCGCTGCGAAAAGAAAATATTTGTGTCGTTGTTTTATATATATTTCGGGATAAAAAAACAATGGATCAGAATGGGTGGTTGTGCTAGCCTAAGCCAGTCGTGCGCCGGTTGTTTTTCTTTAATGCGTGGGATAAATTTATGCTCCACATCAATAGTTGGGTGGGTTATTGGTTCGGTGGGCTATTGGTGGTTAAATAATGGGTAGGAAACAGATAAATATATAATAATCAATCCTTTCACTAGGGAAGTATAGAATGTCGTTAGGAAAAAATAATGCATAACTCAAAGGGGAGAGGTGTATTGTGTTGGCGTATTTGTGACAAGTCTACCCCTAAGGGTTGATCTTCCCAGTAGGAGTGCAATCAATGACCAGTACTTGTACCCCCAAGGGGTAACGATCTCGCTCTTATAGCAATCAGTAACGCCTCAGATACGCAAGGTTTAGGGGGCTCGAAGGGCTGTTATGATCAATATTTATCATATTTAGTTTATTATTATCATTTTTTTCATCTTTCGATTTGGTGCAAATCTGAAGAGAAACCTCGATCAAGATATGCTTATGTTTCTAATACATACGACCATGATTACTAATCAGAAAGCTCAAGAGGGGTATACCCCCCCCCTCCTTATGTCCAAACAACCAAGGTGTACGGGGCGACCAAGGGCTGTAGCATCATAACACTTTTAAGGCCCGCCACACCCTATTTTTAAAATTTTGAAAGTAGATTGCCTACGAAAATAAGCCTGGGCTACCAGCCGTGTTGCGGAGGTTCCCAAAGCAGGCATAGTATCAAGCGCATCGGCCCCTGCCTTTTCTCCCGAAGAGGCGGGAACCCTCTCGGCCGTGTCATGCATAAGTTTAAACAAAACAAAAATGAAGATACAACTTGGGACGGTTGTGGTGGCGTCATCCCTTCACCGCTCTAACCGGGTTCGCCAACTATACATCTTGCAGTCCCCTACAACAAGATAGGTTCCCGCGAGGCATAAACTTTTCTTCCCTTAGGGGCTGTTACCACCCTTAGGGGTGTATCCCTACCGAGCTACTGACCCACGTACGGAAGTTTTTACATGCAACTGCAGCGTGAGTCAGCCGAGGGCATTTGCTTGTTCGATGTAGTATAGGTACGTGCGATTAAAACGCCTATTGAACCCGAATGCTGTTCGTCTATTAGGGCACTAATCTCCGAAGAACGAAATGTACACCAATCCACTACGACGATCTCAACCAAGCGTGAAACCCACAACTCAATCCTAGTCCCTTAGACACACTGTCAAAAGAAAATTTTAACAACAACACATTATTATATCAAAAGGATCGACCGCAGTCGAAAGAAATAAATCAAATCTGAAATGATATCGAAAGAGTTCAAATTATCAGTCGACCTATCCAATAAGGATCGACCGCAGTCGAAAGAAATAAATCAAATTTGAAATGATATCGAAAGAGTTCAAATCATCAGTCGACATATCCAATAATACAAGATTGAAATAAAATTTGACCACCTCGGGTCGAATTCCATAAAACAATCATACAACCACCAACAAGGAGTTGGCTACTGACAATACCATTGACGTAACCGACAAGGTAGTCGGTTGCCTTAGTTTTGATTTGATAAGACGCGCTACCAGGGTCATTCATCGCACCCTACCACTAACCTAAGATTAGACACGCACACCCGTCTCCATATATTCCTAATATTTTTGGATGACAGACTGCTTTGCTGATGATTCTTGATCAGGTGCATTGCTTGAAGTGTTGCATGTCTCTCCCTCTAGGAAGTGGTCTGATGTACTCCTCCTCCTCTCCCGAGCACACAACTCGGATCTCAGAAGTCGAGTCGTCTCCACCAAATCGATAAAGTACCCCCCGGTAGAACGGTCCACTCTGGGTCGATAACAGGGTCGACTCCTCAAACAACGAATCCCCGCCCCAGATGCTTCTTAGAAATAGAAGATGTGATCACTGAAAATAACTTTCATATATTTTTCATTTATCTTAAGTCCATGGTAACTTAAACGAAAAGAATTCAAGAAAGGTAAAGAATAAGAATCATTTAGACACGTACACGTCGATAAAGTCATTCGGGATAAAATAGGTAGACCTAAAAAAAAAGCTAGATCAATTTAACTTTGTTTTCTTTATTTAAAACTATTTTTACGACACTCACTCGATTAACTATTTTCAAAATGACAAGTTCTTTTTACAAACAGGCAGGTAGTAAGTAGAAGGAAGGTGATTTTTTTTATCTGTCCCAAATAGGCATAAATCAAACTCCTTTGTGGGCATCCTTCTACCTACCTACACACACAAAAACAACCGCAGACCCAAAAAATCCAACAACCCATACTCCCATCAGATCCCACTTTTCACATGCATGACCACACACGCCTTACTCAACCTTTTCTTTTAAACGTTCAAAACAAACAGGGTCAAGCAAAGTGTGAGTTCACATACGTGTGAAAAGGAATCTTAGTCAATCAACTGACCTTGAGTGATGCGGAAACAAAAAATTGTCTTGACTCACTTAAGAAAACCAACTAGTAAATTACAACCACAAAGGTGAGTCTCAATCAACCGCCTCGCGCTTGCACGTCTCATATGACGGCGAGCCGCACGCCTTCAAAAACATCACGACACGACGCCAATCCCAACCAGTCCCACGCTTACCTCAACCGATCCCAAATGGTCCAGATGGTCCTATGCCACCAACCACTTTGTCAAAAGACATTTAACCACAATAACTACATGTCATACTCCTAAAAAAAAAACGAGTCCTGGTAAACCCAACCAGTAGCGAGATTGTCCTTGTGACCGCATACGCCCCGCGCCGGTCTCAGCTGGTCTAGGCAGTCTCAAGTGGTCCGGCACAACTGCTGCAAGAGCCGAGGCAGTCCCAACTCCCAACACTCATTCCTTACGCAAATTTCACAGTGTCGCGCGCGCTAATTGCCACTAAGTCACGTTGTTGTTGCCGCACACTCCAACTCTGGTAGCACAACCTCATCAAACAAAACAGGCGTCGCGCTGTAGAAAAAAACTCTGCCATTGTTGTGCCGCAAATCCCCGTTGTCATGTCGCTAATCCAACAACATTTTCACACCAAAGACAAAACAACTGTTGCCGTTCTCGAGCGCATCGGTCCGACACCACTCAGAGGTAGTGCGGGACCCTCCCCGCCGCGTCACACAGGAGTCATAATATATCCCTTCTCGCGGTACATATATGGAGCTTCCGTAAGCCGCTCCGGCCGGGTGCGCCAGCCATACCTCTCGCGAGCCCGTACGACAGGACAGGGCCTACGCGTGGCACGACTACCTCCACCTTACGGGAGCTGTCACCTTCCTTCGGTGGACGTATCCCCGCCGAGCTACCTGTCCACAGTACGAAAGTTGATCAGCTGCAATCACAGAGGTGGACCACCCGAGGGCGTTTCTTGTTCGCTGTAGCATTAGGGGTACCCGCGATACTACGCCTCTATCGGACCCGCACGCGAACCGACATTTTGGGGGGCTGAGGTCCCAAGCGCGGTTCGTCGCCGGTCGACTAGGACATATCCCACACACCATGCACACATCACTATAAGGTACACAAAAGTAACGCACGTGCCTACACGCACAGTGGTACTGAACGACACGAAGGACGTACAACGCAACACACTCCTAGTCCCTTTGTATCCAACCCATAACCATGTGCACTGAAAGTCGATAACTGTCGTACGCGAGGTTTAGTATAAGATCGCTCGAACATAGGATCCACGCATACCAATTCACTATGCAGCTCTACGTGAGTAACTGCGATGACGGCGTATTATGTGATGCCCATACCCAAATGGCCTATTCTGAGCCATGCGATTGCTTCCGATGTTCAAGCGTTAGCTGAAGTGCGCGCTAAGGGAGGTAACCCTTTAGCGGGCGCAAAACCGGCCTGAGGGCTTTACCGCCTTCTGCATCCTGAGGTGTCCCAAAGGGTGCGGGGCAAGGCGGTCCCTAGAGCAGGAAGGAACTTGGAGCGGTGGTGCGTTGTCTATCGCATCACCAGCGACACGCTGACCCTTCCGCCCGGAACTTACCGTTCCACCAAAATAAATCCCAACAAGGAAAGTACCTTCGACTTTTATCAAGAGGGAACCTTTTCAGAGCTAGTCCTGGGACCTGGGTCGTCCTTGGCGAGGACCATCGTATTTTAGGCTCAGGGCTACAGTTCGACCACGATTTCTTCAAAAGCGTATATATAAATAGAGGGGTCATTCCCTCTCTTCTATTCATCCCAACCCCGGATTAGGTCCTTAGCACGCGGACCCTTCAGGCCATACAAGTACCCTACATAGGTACGTATACATACACATATACACACATATATACGCATATGGGAATAAACGTGTGACGATCACATCTCACAATCGCAGTGGGTCTCCTCATGCACATATATAAGATCGCAGGGCAGTCCAATCCAATATTCCAAGTCATAGAGCATACCTGCAACCACATCAATGAGTCAAGCAGAAGTCCACACACTACACGGAGCCAACTCCAACCAATCTCCATGCTCATACCCTTCGCCTCAGCCATGCAAGCCCCAACCTCCAGCCAACCAACCTTAAGTAAATTCTCAGTACCTTTGTTAAATGGCCATTCAATAAAAGTCCGGGTGAAACCTTAACAAAACATAAAGATGACCAGGGCTGAAACCTCTTTAGGTTGAGTAAGGAGAGTGAGCTGAGGTTGAGTCGTAAACCGACGAATCGCAACCGACCTGTTATCTGTGATAACAGAAGGTGATCCTTGCAGGATCAAAGCTGAATCTAGCCCCAAGTCCTGAATCAATCGATCAAGGAGACTTGTAACACAAAACAGACCAATCTCAAACTAAGTCTATAAGCTCGTGGAGGATAATCTCCATATCACGATCTTACCCAAGTCACCACACTTAACTAGGTCTAAGCCTTATCTCTAGCCAGCGCCCAAGCAAAGGTAGACTATGATATAGTCTCTCCTACGTACGTCGCCACCTGTCGAAATACAAGCTAACTCCTCTAGTTTAGGAAAATTTCGGCAGCGCTTCCCATAGGAAAAATGACGTCGCAGAAAATATACTAGTCCAAAAGCCAAAATCTTTGGATTCCAGAAAGTCAAAATTTGTGTAACTCCCTGACCTAGCAAAAATATGGGTAGCATTTCCTTCAGAGAGGAAGGCCCCCCATATCTATACTAAGTCAGCCTTGAACTTAGACATAACGTCCCGGCCCTGTCACGACAAAACCTTAACCAACTTCTTAGCTTTGTAGAAATTTCGGCAGCGCTTCCCATAGGGAAAGTGCTAGTCCAAGATTTATACAAGGCCAAGTTTGGGACCTGACAATGACTTTGACCCTTCAGGGCCCAATTTTGGCTAACTCCCTGAAATTGTAAAAATTTGGGCATCACCTCCTTTAGGAAAGGAGGCTCCCCAGATTCTTACTAGTCAAAGAAGTCATTAAGTCTGAATCCTGAAAAGTCAAAGTTTTGACTAACTCCTTGATTTTGTAGAAATTTCGGCAGCGCTTCCCATAGAGAAAGTGGCTTACCAAGATTTATACGAGACCAAGTATAAATAAAGGATCCCAGAACTGCAGAAACAGATCTAAGTAAAAAAAACGAGCCCGGAAAATGCAGGAAATGACTCTAACTCCTACGGCTCTAGCACGTGGCGAGCAACTACAACAACTACCTATCAAATCCAAGTTCAGACCAAGAAGTGGCATCACTCAGTCACATGCAGGCCAAACCACAAACATGCACTCTCTCACCATCCCCAAGTTACCTTGGCAACCAATAGTTCGTAGTCTTTCAATGATTTATCCCTTATACCCAACTTCCCTAGGGCATAAGGCTAGACCACCCAAACTTATGGAACAAGTCTAGCCCAGCCAAGAAGTATACACAAACACAGGGGACAAAAACTTTTCTCTTCTTTGGGCATATGACTAGGCCATCCTAGTCGCCCTGAACTGTTTAAATATCCAAGGTTTATATAATTGTCTGTACTTAGTCTTTTGAGGTAGCATATAGCTGAGCCGATCATCTCCAGCTCAAGACTCAGCCTGCCCCTTCGTACCACAAGTTTATTCTTAGTTAAGTACTCTCTTCAGTTGGTGATAAGCTACAGTCAGGCCACCCAAACTTATGGAACCCTGCCTGACTAGCCTGTTCATAGATAGTATAATAGTAAAGTATATCAAAGTTATAGCCTTTCGGTTCCAGCATGTGCGAGGCGTTGGACCAAGACCACCCAAACTTATGGAACATGTCTTGGTCCACAACCTAGTTTATTCTCTTAAAGCCAAAGCAGGAAGAGGTTGAGCCACCCAAACTTATGGGACATGCTCACCTCCTCGTTCAGAAACCAAAGAAATTGTCAAAACCCCCAAATAAACAAGGTCGCCAGACTACCCAAACTTATGGATTTGACTGGCGCCTGAAGAAGCAATCACATTCAACCCTCACAAGTCAGAGCAACCACACCACCCAAACTTATGGATTTGTCTGGTTCTCCAAGCAATACAAAATAAAACACAGCACTGGGCCTTCCCAAACTTATGGAACTGGCCCAACCTTTGGTTGACCCAGTCAAACTTCATGCCATACTGTCTTTCTCTCACCCTTCCCCCCAGATGCAATCCCACAATCTGCTTTCAATCAGGCAAAGAAGTTGAAACTGACATTATACATGCCTTCCTTTACTTTGTCTGGTTAAGTCCTGAATAGAAGCAAAAAATCATAAGGACAGGCATGCATACATCAGTCAAGCTATAGGGGATAAGCAAACATGGGTGTAGTGGGGTATACAGACAGAAAGAGATTACCTGATGGTTCCCTGCCTCCAGAACCTCACCTAGGCTCCGGCAGAGCTCTCGCAATCAGTGGGTTGACTCCCCACAGAGTCTTGACGCGGACCTACGGGTTGCAATCCCGCCTGCCGCCTTCCCCTCGTAACCAATTGACTAGACTTGGAGTGAGAAAGGCAGATAGAGAAAATATAGAGACTCTCAGAGGGGTGTACTCAGACTTACGTGAGGGGGCCTTATTATCTTGGTCCGCCTGAGGGCCCCGCAATGGCGGCCAATTGACAGCTTGGTCCGCGAAGCCAAACTACCGACGTAGCCCTTCCTGGCGATCTCCTGGTCCGCAGCACTAACCCTCTACTCGTCCAGCCTGACCACCTCCTTAGATGCAGTAGCAACACTTAACGGCAACCCTCAGTAACATCCGTAGTAACCAGCAACTGTAGTTCTCAACGGTGATCACCAATGACAACACTAGCCTTCCGCAGCAGCAGTCCTTATTGCTGACCAACAACACTCCGCCACAGTCATTTGCAGCTTGCCGCAGCCATGTGCATCAGCATGGAGTAGTGAGCGACAGTTCGCAGTAGTCACCCGCGGAGGCTGTGCACAGTCAAGGAAAAGCACAGCATCGAAGGCTGTCTTTGCCCGGCCACCGAACACAGCAACAGCACAGTCCCCAGCATGGTCCACAGCAATAGTCAACAACAGTAGTACGCAGCGGCAGTATACCGCAGTAGTTCACACCCCATCCTCGGCAGCAGCGGTCTGCGCTCAGCATGCAGCCGCATTTCGTGCGGCCTGCAGCGGCCAACAGCACTACGCAGCCTGGCCACCGGGTATAGCAGTAGTTCGCCAGCATACAGCAGCGGCAATTCGTACGCCACCAACAGCCACCCGTAGCGGTAGCCTGTGCACCACTCGTAACAGTTAATAACAGTCAGCGGTACTCAGCGACGGTCACAGCAATAGCAGTCCGCACTTAGTGCGCAGTTGTAATCTGCGCACTGCCGAAAACAGCAACAGCCGTTCATGCCCAGCCAACGAACCCAGCAGCAGCTCGTAGCGGCGGTTAACGACAATATGCTGTAGTATCCAGCAGCTTGCAACAGTCTGTGCACTGTCATGGGGGCAGCAAAGGTGCACAGTCAACAAACAGTCTGCAATTGTAGGCAGCAATCAGCCGCAATATGCAGCAGTGGGCAATCAGTATGCCCGCAGCAGTCCGTCACAGCTAGCCAGCAACACCGTGTTGCTCATCAATCCCAGCCACCCTCCACGAAATGCAGCAGCCCGTGGTAACCTGCGACAGCCGGCTGCCGCCCCCCTAGAGACCCAGGCCCCCCCTGAGCTTCTACTTGTCCTGCAGACTAGAGGCTGAGCTCAACTGGGAACTCCGAACGTAACTGTTTCCTATTCCGCACAGCAAACACACAGCATCGACTAAGAACGGCCATACGCCATCGGCGCTAGCAACAATAAGTGCGATGTGTAAAGATGTCGCCCCTGCAGACTCCCACCAAGATCAGGTACGTATCTCCACACTACCACTCTTATCCTCTCTTAAGTTCCCCCTTTACTCACTCTCCGACGCTCCTAGCTTACAACAGCGGTCAGATTCATTGTATCCCAAGTCTGAGAAAAACGGACACAACCAAATGAGGATGGCCATGGCTCGCAGCCACTGCGCTATGGTCGGGATGATGATGACGGGTACGAACAGGGGGAGGTGGGGCAGCAATTGCCTCTTCTTTCCCTTCGTTTCGCCCGTGTACCCGTCTGCAGCTGTCACGCTCGCTCCTCTGCTGTAGGCCATCTTGCTTCCACTCCCGACGAGCAAGCTCATACCCAACTTCTTACTTTAGATCCTTGTCCGCGGATGAAGCAAAGATTACAGCCAGCTGCCTCTTTCTGCCTACATGCGGGTAAGCGCTTACTACTTCTCTACCTCTCCAACTCACCCCCTCCCCTTCTTCCCTCTATGGGTGAATGGATCTGGCCATCAGCCCCGACCGGTTTTATTCATCCTCCACTGTCTGCAGCACGAGGACAAGAATACTCCTGACACACCCACCAATGATGAGCGAAGGGCAAGGTGTGACCGTCAGGTAAGTGCTCCCTCTCTCCCTCTCCCTTACTCTCTCCGCCACCAGTCTGTTGTCCGCTTGCCACATCATCCTCTTACCACACGCAGCCTCTCAGTCCGAAGAAGGTGAGTTACCCCTCCTTCCTCACCTATCCCCTTGTAGCCTCGTTCGGGTTCGCCCCCAGCTCATAGCCGCTCTTCGTTTCAGCAGTGGACCTTCCTCCCCATGGTGGCCAGACTCATTGACTTGTATAAGAGTTAGTCGTGGTGAGGCCGAGCTTAGCGGCTGCGAGGAGGAACAAGTCACGGTCGCAGTTTGGAGGGTGACCAGCGGGATCTCGAGGGGTATTGCTGTGGCAACCACGACGACGAGCTCCTCCTGGACCGTGATGACAGGTAGAGGGGGTGGGAGAATTCTTCTGCTAGAACATGATTCATATGCGCCTTCGCCAAGTAATCATACTCGTCCCGACTTGCTTTCACGGGCCACACATCCGACATGCGAAAGGTGAATGAATCTTTCGCAAAAACGCAGGGAGATACATCACCTCTTCTCTTAGGCGCAGCTAAAAACCGCTCTACCGCCCATACCTTACCGTTAACCTGAAATACGTTGATGCCATCGAGCTCGCAGTGGCCAAAAACATCAGGTTAGCCTCCTTACTCGCCCTATTTCATCAAGAAACGGGCGAGATACACAATTTTTCTTTCTCGTTCATTTCACTCCGGTTTTCATCCGCGCAGCACCTTTCTACCCCAACTCCAATCCTACTAACCTATGATCAAAACTAACCTTGGACTTCAATTCGCCCGCCCTCAAAACCTACATTTCGAACCTTTCCTCGCTTGATTCCGTTTGGAGCCGAGCGAGGTACTCATTCTTTCCTTTCCTCCCTTCTTCACTCCCGCCATTTCCATAGCTCGGCGCCGCTCTTCATCCTCATACCAACCAACGCACTTACCTGTTACAAAAACCAACCTCTCTATGATGTTCGCCCGGGGCCAAAACCCCGTGATAGCCTCTCGGTTCGCCCAGTCCCATCAAGAATTGAGCGAACTATGAGTTTTACAATCGTCCATAGCTACTCCCCCTATTGCCTGTGCCATCTTCATCTTGCCTCCGCATGTACTTTGCGCGCCACCCCGTCCATGTTCGTTCGCATTTTTCTTTTTTTCTTTTTTTATGCCTCGCACTCTGCTCGACCTTCCCTGTTCGCCCTTACCTCCCGTTGTCGTTAGAGCTTCCTCCTTTACTATAAACGTGCAAAATGAGAATGATTCTCCCACTAGAACATGGGGAGATACATGCCTGATTCCACCTTATTTCGCTCGCCTTCGGTGGCACACCGCGCAGCCCCCACTGCTTGTAGCAGCCGAACCACTGGCCGAATCAAAAAAGTGGCGTGGCCATTCGATTCGGATCGCTTTAAAACCCCCAGTTAGAGTCTTTCCTCGCCCGAATCCATCGAGATTTGGGCGAGATATAGGATTTTTGCTCCCGCCATAGCTTTATTCCGAACATCTCAGCGCACACCATTTCACTTCTAGCCCCTATTCTACCAACCCAACAGTCGAACTAACCCTTCCATTCAACTCGCCTTACTTCGAAACCCCAATTTCAAGTCTTACTTCGCCCGATTCCGTCAAGGAACGGGCGAGCTATGACTTTTTCCTCCCCACTACTTTACTTTCATCATCTTCTTCGTCCACACCGTCTTCTCCCTCCCAAATACAACACACCCCAACAGCTCATTGTCGGATAGCAATTCGGGCTATCAAGACCTGCTAACCAAGGCCCGCCCTCAACTTATACTTGTCATGTTTGTGCAGGGGCCACGCTAATCTTCCCGGTATCGTTCTAATATTCATGGATGTCTCGCTGGACAGTGCCCTGGGAATAGTCCAGGGATATCCCCACGAAGATGGGCAGCTCCGCCCCTGGGTGACTTAAAATTGTATCATCCTGCCCATCTACTTCTACTGGAGTTTGAACTCAGGTTTGTATTTTCAAGAGTTTGAAGGGTGTACCATTGCGCTAGACCAGTTGGTTCTGTCCAATGCTATGGGACCGACACTGCTACAGTCCCAAAGAAAAGAAATAAATAAAAAATATAAAAAGTGAAAACAACCATAGAGAAAATAGGGGGGTGTGGGGCCTGCTGCTAATCAGCAGTGTGGGCCGTGGAGAAGCTGGCTCAGGTGCAGATCTTGAGGATAGCAGCAAATATTCGGATGGAAACTGTGTAGACCGAGGCGAAAGCAGACTCCATGTGATCACCCGCTGCATCCGCCGCTGCCTTGGTGCCCCCCCCTGACCAATTGCAGTAGTGCCTATTTGGTACTTTGCTTGTTGTACGGCGCCATCCACAGATTGTGCAAAAGAAAAACTTCAGGTTCTGAAATAAATAAATAAAAATAAGTAGGCATTTCCCTTACCCCGCGGCTCCACAGGCTGTTGACAAATGGGCACACATAATGGTAGCCTTAGGATCTTGACAAGTTTTTGTGACCGGTCTCGCACCTTGCCGCACCCAACGGGCATGCTCACACTCAAACCTCTCACTGCAGATTGTGGGCGACGGGCAGTGCATCTGCAGAGAGCCCTTCCTCAGCACCCCCGGGCCTGCTGCGATGCCTGCTGCGTGAGCCTAGTTGGGGCGGGTCCCAGTGCAGAGCTTGGTGGTAGTAGTAAATATACAAATGAAAACTTGAAGGTCGAAGTGGCGAAGGCTTCCATGTGAACAGCCGCCTTGGTGTCCCCTGGCCGGCCATGCCCAAAGCGGAGTTCACCATCTTTCGAGTCCCATCGGGCACGCTCACGCTCCAACCCTCAGAGGGGCCACGCCGCCCAAGCCTCTTCCGCTTCGTGGGCTAATCACCTGCTGGTTTGCACGCCCGTTGAAATCCTCAGTCCGTGTTTCAACAGTTCATGGGCGTATCGGTTGAACCACGCCCCGCTGGTCCCCGCACACAACTCCGGTACCAGCGTTGTCGCCGCACGCCAGAAACGGCACCGACAACTAAAAATAACTAAAGAGAAATAAAAATAAAAATAACGGTAAAAATAAAAATACAAACGTCGGAAATCGGAGCTTTGGGGAAGAGAGGCCGTCGTACCCCTCTCAGTTCCGCCGACCGGACCCACGGATGGGCCGTCAACAAAAACCAAAGGGGGATAGTCCCGCCAGGCCCTCAACCCCTCGGCTCCTTCCACACTCCACCGCTTCGCTCCACTGCCCGCTGGGCTCGATCCCCGTACCTCCGCTGTAACAGTCCGATACCGTAACCTATAGAACTAAGCCCAACCCTGATATCGACATGCGCGGTATTCCATATGAACAGGTGCGGCGCAGCCCCCAGGCCTCATTCCTACCTCCCATTAGGCACACTACTGCTAGGCTCCTACGCCGACTTGCCCTCTTTGCGCCGTGGCCGCCCCGCATCCTACTTCGCACGTTAGACTACCAACGGTTACCTATCCCTACCAAGGGCACCTCTTTCTCCTAGTAGCCAGAGTCAGGCCGACCAACTATGTCGGCTGCATAATCCAAAGTAGAAAAATCACACGCGCGCCTTAATCCCGCGCGCCCACTCCCGCCCTACTCTAATCAAGCAACTTACCTATGAAACCACACGGACCTAGGCGCGTCTCGCGCAGTACACTTTAGACCTCTACTCTTACTTCCAGTTATTCGCAAAAACTAGGGCAGATACCCTTGTCAGGGTATTCGCCCCGACACCGTGCCACCAATCCTGCAGCATCTTCCCGCAAAAAAAACAAGTGTCACCGCGCCGCAAATTCGAAAGTGCTTCCCTACCAAAAGAAAAATCAAGTAACGCCGCGTCGCAAATCCAGCAACACTTCCCCACCAAAGAAAAAATCAAGTGTCGTCGCGCCGCAAATTCGGTAGCACTTGCCTGCCAAAAGAAAATTCAACTGTCGCTATGCCGAAAATGCGGCGGCACTTACCCGCCAAAAAAAAAATCAAGTGTCGCCGCGCCGCAAATCCGGCAGCACTTCCCTCCCAAAAGAAAAATCAAGTGTCGCCGCCAACAAGTCCGACAGCACTTCCCTCCCAAAAGAAAAATCAAATGTCATCGCGCCGCAACTTCGGCAACACTTCCCTGCCAAAAGATCAAGTGTCACCATGCCGCAAATCCTGCAACACTTCCCTGCCAAAAGAAAAATCAAGTGCCGCCTTGAAGAGTGACCGTCACCGGTGCCGAAAATGACATCATTGTCAACCCCGTAAAAATGGGGTTTCGTTGTCGAATTCAACGGTCGACACCTCCCTTCCACTTGCTTGGTTGCACCGCTGCCTCTTGCAGTACCGTCGTTGCCCCCCCCCTCAAGAAGAAGCCTGGCCAGAGGGTGGAGCAAAATGCCCCAGCCTCAGCTATGGCTGCCTTCCTCCTGGTACTCCTTGTACTCCTGCAGACCTCCAGTCTCCTCCAGCAGCAGTCCTCCAGCTCCCTCAGCAGCGCCTCAGCACCTCATCTCAACACTCAAGTGTGTTGTCACATACTGGCAGAGTGAGGGCTTTGTGTGGCGATTGGGGGACAACTGCCTCTTTTGTAGTGGGTGGGAAGTGCTTGGACTCAGCAGCCCTCAGGCAAAATTCGTCACTTGCCTGGGGCCCTTGATTCGATCAAGATTGGGTTTGAGGTTGTCGCATCTCAG